TTTTGTTTCAAGTAAGTAATACTCACTAATCATGGTGGTGGTGAAGATGATGATGCTATCCATGACGATAAAGAGACTCGGATGTACTGAGATTGAAATCCCAGCTCTGAGGTTCACAAGACATGTGGTCTTTGGTAAACTGCTTACATTTAAAGTCTGTTCCCTCAAATAAAAAAATAGGGGGCTAATAATGCAGTCTCCCAGGGAAGACTGGAAGTCGATACTCAGTACACATGGACTGCTGGGTTTAGTGACTTTATATAGTTTGTGTGAAGTGTCTGTCACGGTGACTGGCGCGTGGGGCAGCTCAATGAATGGAGCTAATTCTGCTGCTGGTTTTTGTTAGGCATCTGGCCTACCTCCCCATTCTGAACATCTAGGACTTCAAACTGGGGACATTTTCTCTGTCCCTGAAGCCAGCCCTGGCTTCTCTGAGACCCTGGGGCAAGCTCCAAGGAAGCCGGCCTCTGCTGTGGGCTCCTCTCCACCTCCAGTTGGCCGGGTCCCAGTCACTGCCTCTGACTGGGACAGGGGGGTGTGGTCCCTGCAGCCCCCAGGTATGCTGAGGGCCTGCACTCTGTGCACACTTGACATTCCAACCTTTAAATTGCTCCTGGGATCAGCAGGGTCCCTGTTCGCGTCCACAGCTGCTGCTTGAGGTCTCCCTTCACCGCTGGGGAAAGTGCACCCTTGGGATTTCCGGGCCTCAGACCAGGATGACATGTGCTCTACGTGAGGAGTCTGTGGCTGAGACACCCAGTCAGCCTGCACAGCTGGAGGAAGGACGTGAGAGAAACACCCACCAGAGGCTCAAGTTCCCAGGAGTTGGGAGGAGAAGGAAGAATGAGGGTCTCAGAGGTAACGGAAGTCGGGGAGGGGAGGGTCTGGGGTCTTTCCCTGGCATCCAGGGTCTGGCCCGGGGCGCTGTGAGGAGTTGAGAATCCTGTCTGGGATCAGGAGACGCAGAGGAGTGGCCACAAGCAGGACACGGGGGGAGAGCTGGGCTACGGCGAGGACAGAGGCGGAGGCCGCGCCTTCTGCAGAGCATTTCCCAAAGACGGACTTTCCTCCCCGCCCTGCCCCTGCTCCGGGACTCCTGCCCGCAGAGGTGCTGGAGCCGCGGGGAGCAGCGGGGAGGGAGCGGGGCCGTCCCCCACGCTCCCCGGGGCTCCCACTGACCAGGACTCCTGCCCTGCCCTTGCTGCTCCACCCTCACACAAAGCCCGGAGCCGGGGAGGGAGGTGGGCAGGATTCCCACCCCATCCTGCAGACGCTCAGAAGAGAGGGCCTTCCTCGGGTCAGAGGGTGAGCAGACCCGCGAGCCGGGACCCAGACCCTCTTCGTCTGAGTCCCAGTCTGCGGCTACTCTTTCCTTTTTTCTCCCTTTCCTTTTAGAAACACTGAGATTTTCTCCCTTGAACACAAAGTAACTTGTGCCCATTGTATGGACAGAAAATTTGGTGATACTGAAGACGTTCAAAGAGGAAGCCCTCGCCCTTATTGACCTTGCTATAATTTTCTCCAGTCACTTGTATCCACACACGTCATTTACCTGATTGAGACAGTAACAGTGTCTACAATTTTGTCTTCTCTCTTTTAATTTATCATTGTAATGTCATAATATTATAGTGTAAAAAATATAAACAGAAGTTTAATGTCTGCCTAATATTCCCTTATATGAAATGGCTCAATTGACTAAGGCATTTATTGGTGGACAGTTATTTTGTTTTTGTTGATTTTCACTCACAAATACTGCTGTGATGAACGCCATTGTTGCGAGATGCTGGCCCTCCGCTCTCATTGGTTCTTCAGAATTATCTCCCAGAGGTGGGATTGCTGGGGTGATGGGTGTGCAGGTTTTTCAGGTTTTTCCTTTTTCTAGGCACACGGCTCTCCAGAAAGGCCGTAGGAGAGGATGTGCGGCTCTTTTGACCACACTGGGTTGCCTCCCATTTCTCAGCTGCCTGCTGGCTCCCGAGACAGGTGGGGACGAGACCACAGCAAGGCCGGGGCCCTGGGACAAGCGGAGGCACCACACCTGCAGGATGCAGGCGCCAAGGTGGAAGCTTCCCTGCCCCCTTGCTCTCCTGCTGGCTGCCCCGCCCTCCCTCCTCCCGCTGTAGGTGTGGGAGCTCTTGGTTTTCTTCCGTCCTGAGTCCCCTCCAAAGCCCGACACAGCTCTACTTCTTGCTGACCATTTCTTGATGGGAAACCAAGCATTCAGATCTCCCCTTAACACACACACACACACACACACACACACACACACACACACACACACACTCCCCACACCCAAAGGAGTGCGGAGTCACCTTCACCAAGCACTGCTCCCTGCCTGCCTAGGACAGCACCCCGCAGTGCCCGACAGAGTTGGGATGCCCTGGGAAGCACCTGATTCAGCCTTCTCATGCTGCATGCGGGGAAGCTGAGGCCTAGGGAGGAGAAGGGACTTGCTCAAGCTACCCAGAATATCCATGTCACGGGCGGGGGCAGGTCCCACAGCTCTGGTCTCAGTGTGCAGGGTCTTCCTAGTTCAGTTCATTCCAATTGAACCAGCTTTCAATCAGCAGCTTTTCCACGACAGGCACTAAGACTTGCGTGGATGCAGCTCTAACACAGGTCAAATCCTGTACGTCACTCACGCCCACACACATTATCCACGGGCAGAAGCTTCTGTGTGCAAAGATTTGTCTGGTGGGAGTGGACAGGATGGCTTCTCTAACAGAAACCGCTTCCCTTGGCCTCTGCAACCACAGCCTGTCCTTGTCACTGTTGAATCTTGTTTGTGGCACTGTACTGTTTGCTCTTGATTTTCTGGAGGGGCCGGGAGAGCCGGTGGGAGGAACGTGAGATAAGTTGGGGCAGAAGTTCACGGTGGGCGCCCAGAGTGGGCCTGTGCTGAGCACACATCCCTCATGCTGAGGGCGGGGGAAGGGCAGTAGGCTTGCCCAGGAAATACAGGGAGACCTCTGGCTGCATGAGGGGAGACCTCTCCGGGATTAGCCCTCTGCTGGGCACAGTTGTGCCCCTCCCTCTCCTCCCAGAAACATTAGGCAATGTCGGGACATTTTTAGTTGTCACAACTCAGGGAGCAGGTGCTACTGGCAACAGCTGAGTAGAGGCCAGGGGTGCTGTTGACATCCTACAAGGCACAGGACAGCCCCCCACGACAAAGAATTCTCCAGCCCAGAATGTCAATAGTGCTGAGGTGGAGAAACCCTGGGTCAACTCAGGGCGGGAGCTGCGCTGCCGGAGAGCACGTCTGACGTAAACTGGGACCAGGACCCAGGAGGGAGGGCGCTCCCGACAGCACGTCTGACGTAAACCCTGACCAGGACCCAGGAGAGAGCGCGCTGCCGGAGAGCACATCTGACGTAAACCCTGACCAGGCCCGAGGAGGGAGCGCGCTCCCACAGCACGTCTGACGTAAACCCAGACCAGGCCCGAGGAGGGAGCGCGCTCCCGACAGCACGTCTGGGGTAAGCCCTCTGACCGTGACGGAGGCGGGCCCGCTGGACAACGAGACAGATTGGAGGATAGACAGAGCTGGTTTGGAGAGACAGAATCTTTCAAAAATCTGTGCACCAAGAGAGGGAGACAGCTGTTTGGTGGAAGGAACTCCAAACTGGGGCCTGCGACCCAGCCCCAGCGCTGTCATTCAACCCACGGAGCAAAATCTTGAGTTCCTCTGAGCTTCGGTTACTTCATCTGTAAAACTCGAGTGACAATATCTGCTCCATAGGGTGTTCCAAAGAATAGGGCACAGAGTAGATGCTCGTTAATACTAACCATTCGTCTTCCGTCATCCAGCCACTGCTACACACGCACCCACACACACACACCATTGCAATTAAGAAGAAGCTATCGAAATATCGGTGAGGATTCTGAATTCAGAGTCTGGGTAATTGCAGCTTAGAGACTAGAAATCCTCCACACAAAGGCATACGGGCCTTCCTATAAGCTAGCCGCCTGTGTGGAACACAAGTGTGGGGTTAGAGAGCCAGAATATTACACAAGAATATAATAGAAGCATAAAAGGACAAAGAAAAAACATTCCCTAGTCACCCCT